CTTCCTCCTCCCCCCTCCCCCTCCTACCTCTATCTCTGGTTTCCTTCTCAATCCTTAGCTTTTAGTCAGCCTAGAACTCACACAACCACCTGTATTCATTTCATCTGGTCAGAAGCTATAGCCAAAGTGGAAGTGAGCCCTGCTGCATCCTTCACCTGCCCTTTGGATGTGTGGGCCTAGGAATCAGACCTGCCCAGGGAGCTTGTTGGCATGTGGATTCCATTCCTCCCCCTTGAACTCATTCGGAACAGCAGGATGTAGGGCCTAGGAATCTGCATTCTCGGAAATGTGCTGTGTGACTCTGCTGTACGCAGACTGCATACAGACTCTTCAGTGAAGTTTCTTAAAGAAGAAACAGCTTTTGCTCCTCTTCCTGCTCTAGGCAAAGCCCCAGTGTGCAGTCTGAATTGAATATTGGAAACTGAATGAGCGTTTTAAACCAGAAGACATTTAAAAACCTAAACAAGAGTTATTATGAATAAGGCCAGTTTTAAGAGGTGAGTCATTTTTGGAATTATATGTGTATTTTAAAAAGATCTAGTAACTTCTAAATAATTATTTCACTGGATAGAAAATTTAGCATCATAGGATTTGACAGTACAGTGTCCACGTTTTTTAATGAATTTACAGTATCACTAAATTGCAAAACTTCCTAATTCCTAAGTTTTGAATATTAAAAATAAAAATAGTCATGAGAGGAGATACTAATATAACTAAATATGATTTTTATCCTATGATAGCACCAACTGTTTTACCAAGCAAATGCATCCTCAACATGTAAGGGGGTACTCAAGAATGTACTTGTCAATAAATTGTGTCAGATTTGGTTTCCTATTGTCACAGTAGTGACGGATTCCATGAGGAACTGCAGTGACAATTACTAGATCATGTGGCCAGGCGATCACATGGCAAAGCTTGTGCTTTTTTTTTTTTTGTTTTTTTGCCGTGCCAGGAATCAAACTCAGGACCTTGTGCTTGTGAGGCAGGTGTGGTGCCACTGAGCTAAATCTCCAGTCCTGGCTTGTTCCTTTGACAAATCTGCTTCCTTATTTGCAAAGGTTCCCTTCTAGTAACTGAGGTATTATAATTTCTTACAAGAAGAAAATGTTTATTTCCACCCAGTGAAGGAAGAGTTATTCTAGTTTCTAAAGTGTAAAACAAGCAGCTATATTTTGTTTTAGCTAGAGATACAAATACAAGATGGTAAATATTTCATCCAAGTGGATTTTATCGCTTCTATTGTTGCTTAAGGAGACAGTTTCCTCTGTGAGTTAATTTCCCATCTTCATTGTAAGAGTTTTCAAGCAAATTCTTTCTGAGTCATTCCTGTCCTTATACATACTCTCTTCTACTCAGAAAAGGATGCAGTCTTCCTGGGGGGTGACAAACCTCCTCGATTTAGTAGAAATTCCTCCTAGTATCACGTGTGGGCTCTTCTTATATTTATCATCTGCTCAGATCATGCAGGAAAGAATGAGAAGTAACAAACATCTGGGTTTTTAGGTTTTTAGGTTTGTCTAAGCCTGTCACATGTTTGGGAAGTCATTAGCTAGGAAAGGAACACACACTTATATGTCTGGTAACTCTGATTCTTAGGCTTTGGTGAAAAGTGGTGAGAGCCCAAAGTGGTGGCACACAACTATAATCACATCCTCAGGAAGCTGAGGCAGGAGGATTGCCTGAGTTCAAGGCCAGCCTGAACTACATAGTGAGACCCTCATCTCAAAAAAGAACATAGAACAGTGATAAGGAAATGCTGTCCCATATTAGATATTTTTGTTTCTAAGCCATCATCTTTATGGAATTCTTAAAGAATTCAAAACTGAGCATATATTAAACATTAAAATATTAATAAAGTAGTGTTTTCACATGCAATTTGTTTGAGATAAATAATTCAGAAGGTAACTATGCTATGTTTTGGTCATGCAGGAATGGAATGTGTACTGATTTGATGTCCAGTCTTGGCAAAATTAATTTTTAGAGATCTTCATGTCTAGACCATGTAAAAAAAAAAAAGGGTCAATTTTACCCATAGTTTAAAACAACTAAAATACACGAAATATGTGAAACATATTTAAGAGATTGGACATCAAGCAATAAAGCCCAATCATCCATGAGAGGAAGGAAATGAGGCAGATGAGCACTAGGACTGCCTCAGTTTACCATCCTAAAACAGCTCCAAAGATGCCATGAGGGAGAAATCCAGCCCAGGTCCTGGGTTCATGTGTGGCAGGAAGCTTCTCACGGTCCAGGGCAGAACCAGCCAAAAGAAGAAGTCTTGGGGCAGGACCTACTCCCACCGCCCAACTGGAAGTGCTTTTACTCACAGTGCTCTGTGCAACGCAGCAAGGGATTCTGTGGCGGGGAATAGTTCTGGACAGCGCTGCTGTGGTCCGACTCAAATATTATAAAAGTAAGACCTCCTCCCCCCAAATCAAATTACGTTTAAGTTACTAAACCGCAGCGAGATACCTCTAGTCACAGAAGAGTTAAAATCGAAATCGGCTGGCCATCCTGAGGCTCGGAGGCCGCATGGACTCGGGACCCCTCCACCGCGGCAGTGAGAGGCAAGGAGGGGTTGCGTGTGTGTCTGTCTCTTCACAGCCCCCTTCTTAGAGACGCTAATGCCGGGTGGACAAAGTTTCGAATGGCAGTTTTCAAACAGATTTCTATGGTTCGCATGTGGTTTGAGTCTCTCCTGGGCCTTGATATGTTGATGGAATCTTCATTTTGAGGTACGGGGAAGGTGGACTCTCAATCCCACTATGGTGTTTTGGGGGCGGCGCCTCTGCGGTGATTAGGATTAGAGTGGGTCTCTGGAGTGGAGCCCTTTTGATGGAATCGTCTTGGATCTGTCAGAAGAAGGGGGCGTGACCACACAGATGCACCCCTGCCCGCCTCTCTCAGCACGGGGTTCTGCACACCTCTCTGGGACTTTCCCAGGAACAAGGCCGTCTGCAGCTAAGACACCTGGCCCCGGCACCTCCAGAGCTTTAAATCAGAGCACAATTCTTTTGTAATACAGTAGCCTGCCTCAGATACTTCATAGCCACAGTGGAAAAGGGACTAGTACAAAGGTAAAGCATTTATTTAGCATCTGTTCCTCCTATTCTACTTCTAGTGAATTATCCAAGAGGTATAACTGCATTTGTCTCTAGGAGACTTGCAGGCGATCATGCGCAGAAGCTTTACTTGAAATACGTAACAATTTGAAACAGTCCCGGAGTTTGCTAATAAACTCTGATACAGATGTAAGGGGTTAATACTCAGCCATGGAGAACAGTGGCCTGTTAATAAATGCTATAACACGGGGGGATTTCAAAATAATTATGCTGCTCAGAAGAAGCCAAAGAGGCAGTCTGCATAATTCCATGTCTGTAAGAATCTAGAAAGTGCAACCTTATCCATCATGACCCGGAGAAGTTAGCTATCGGAGCATAGGGAATGGCTCAGGGAAGTTTGGGAGGCTGGATCACAAGCTTGGAGGTGACAGCCATGTTCCTCGTTTTGATGTTGGCATAGTTTCATTGGCACGTGCATTCAACAAAGTCTGTGTGATTGTATACTTTAAAGATATGCCTTTACATGAACGCTTTTATAAATAAAAGATAATAGTTATATAAGTCAGTATTAAATTTGAAGGAATTCCGGAAAAATGTGGGACATTTTAGAATATGCTGATGTCTAGGTTCTATACCTACAGACTCTGATTTAATCGGTCTGGGGAATGGTCTGGCCTCCAGGAATTAAAAATAAACTCATCAGGAGATGCCAATGAGCACAGTTTGATAATTCTTTTAGTATGTTATTTCATTGTTTTTCTGTACAATTAGAAGGAATTTAAATCTCATGAGTCTTCCTGGAAGATACAAATTTAATCATCAGTTCAAAAAATAATTGTTCTAAAAACAGCCTAGATATGATTGCAAGTGGATGTCTGTGTCTGGTGATGGTCAATTATAAATACAAAGGAAGACAAAGATACTCAAAGAAAAGTGTGCTATCTTCATAGTGGTGGCAGACTTTTTGCAACTGTCCGTGGCGCTGTGATTGTCGAAACTACCGGGAATGTTTAACTTTGGTGGAGAGCTATGCACAGGAGGACTTCTCACACCTGCTCCTAGGAGGAAGTTGCACCTGGGGAACCGACACTCACCTTGGCGTAGATGCAGCTGTCGTTGAGCCTCTGCAGTGAGCAGTTCTTGTCACATAGAGGGCACATGAAGACGTCCGTGGCTTTGCAGATCTCCTGGCTTGAGAAATCAGAGAACAGAAATCATGAGGCTCTGCAGTGACAGAATGACTCACCTCATCAGCAAACCCTGCTGAAGCAGCTAGCCCAAGAGAAGAGGAAGAAGAAACAGAAACATTGCAGGAGAGCCAGCTGGCTGGGAAACACTTATAGTTTCCATGCCGTTACTTTGGGATATTTGGGATATGAAGGCTGCCTCTTTGACTTTTTAGAAACCTCTGTCTCAACAAAGAAATGGTATTAGATCATATCTGTACACTTGTGTGACACTTGGGGAGTGTTTAAAATAAAGACACTTTCATACAAGATGTCATGGCGCTCAGGACAATCTTGTGCCCTAAACCCAAGGAGTTCAGGCTTGGAAAGTGCAGAACTGGAACTGAACCTGACTATCCTGACTTCTGAAGTCGACACACGATTCATCACCTGCACGTTTTAGTATGTGACATTGGTGCAGGCTGTTCACTGGAAAGTAAAGGGGGTGGGCTGTGTGTGTGTGTGCTTGCACATGCGCACCTGTGACTCCTCGACAGTTCATCAGGATAACATGACACAGTTACTGTTTAATTAAAGACACTCTCAGTTATGCTATAACTGCATGATGTTTATCTCTTCTGTTTTTTGCCCGCTGCTATTATTGGTTTTGGGGAACTAGGGTCTCCTCCTAGAGTTGGTTTCTAGGTTCTTCCTGTAATGAATAAAGAATTGGTTAAGACAAGCACAAGAAGTAGCAATGCTTTATTCCTAAAGGCGGGAAAAGAGGCATTCTCTGCACAGGGAGCAGAGGCCAATTCAAAGTAGGGAAAGAAGTGTGCTGTGCAGGGTGAGGGGAGGTGTCGCCGTGAGAGAGTATGGTAGTCCCGGGCTCAATAGCACCCTCTTCCTCAGCCTGGTGTCAGATCTTGACTGTCCTGTCAAAAACCTGTCTGAGTTCTCATGAGAAATGAAGACAGCACTCTCTGTGCATGTGTCCTAGAACTTGCAGATTCACAGGTTATATCCACCTTCCCAGCCAGCTGTCCATGCGCTAACCACCTGCCCTGCTGCCTTGTAAAAATCTCAGTATACATTAGAGATGGATTTGAAAGGAGAGTTGGGAATCAACATTTCCTGAATGACCTCACAGACTGATAGTCCACAGTAACCTGCTGTAGGATATTTGATGTCTTTATTTGCTATATAAGCTCTTTCCTACTTAGTGTCTCAAGCCAAGTTTTCTTTGAATGTGCTCTGAAAATTCTGAAAGGAATTTAAAGGCTTTAGGAAATCTGCCTGAAAATGCAACTGTTAATGCAATTAATGTTAATTGGCAATATTTGCAGCAAGATTGGGACATATATAAATTGAAGCCAAAGGGAGAATAAACCCTACTGAGGATGCCATAGAACTGTAAATGGTTTATAGTGCTAAAGTCACTTACTCTTTACTCTAACCTCTGCTAATGGTAATCGTCTCCATTAAGCAAAGGAAAACAGTGTTTGCTTAAGAGACTTGCTAAAGGTCACAGAACTAGCAAGAGGTACTTCAGGAACCCAAGTTTAATTTTTTTTCTGATTATGGACCCGGTTCTCCATCACCTGTAACATAGCTAAAAGAGGAAAAAAGTTCATTTCACAATTAAAAGCAAGCTTCCTATGAAAGTTTACTAATGCACTGGTGATGCAAAGGGTGTTCCACGTACCACACTGCTGCTTTCACATGAACCATATTTTTGGTCATCAGTATATCCATAAAAAGTAGAATGAAGTATGCAGAACATACATTTTAATACCTAAAAGAAAGCAGAGATCACATCATCTCCACTTACTGGCGCTAGCAGTTTTCAGGAACAGCAAGAATTAACATAGCTTTTGATTCCAAGTTTTAGCTATTACAAACTGTGCCACTATAAACATGGGTGTGCATATGTCACTGTGATATGACTCTTTTAATTCTTTTGGAAAGATACCCAGCAGAGGGATGGCTGGGTCAAATGGAACCTCTAGTCCCAGCTCTTTGAGGTATCTCCATATTGATTTCCATAGTGGTGGTACCAGTCTGCATTCCCACCAACAATGGAGATGGGTTCCTTTCTCCCCACCACCCCGCCAACATTTGTTATTTTTTGATTTCTTGATAGCAGCCATTCTTTGTGGGGTGAGGTGGAATCTCAGTGTTGTTTTCATCTGCATCTCTCGAATGACCAGTGATGTGGAACATTTTTTCATATATTTACTTGCTGCTTTTACTTCTTTGTCTGAGAAATGTCTGTTCATTTCAGATGCCCATTTTTGAATTGGGTCTTTATATTTGGAGACCGTGATTGTTTTGAGTTCTTTATATATTCTAGATAATAAGTCACACGTGTAAATACTGAATAGTTTCTCAGGTGTGAAAAACTATAATAGTACATAAGATCCTAATGAGATAATTGACAATGTGAAATAGGAAGAAAAGGGCTAAAGGCATAGGGAACTTGGGAAGGGTAGGGGAAAGGTAATAAGGGAAAAGAAAAAATATGAGAAAATTAAAAATGGAAATAATTTATTTGTAAATGGGGAGGGGAGGAGGGGGTGAAGGGAGGGCAGGGAAGAGGGAAAAAAATGAAAACCAAGACCTGTCATGTAAAGGTACAAGATCCCAATAATGAATGCAACTGTACTGTATACCTAAAATGTACCAATAAACTCAATTTTAAAAAAAACATAGCTGTTGAAATTTCTCACCAAAATGGGATTCCTGTGATAATTCGCAGTGATTTGCAAATGCTATAATTCTTCCTACATGAATCTCACGCAGAAAGTCTACTTGAGCTGGCTTATCCTACATTATTGTTCCCACCTACCAAATGGTCAGACAAAAGCCCAGATTTATCGGCGCATGAAGGCCAGAATTGCAATTGTTGGGATGGGTCACATTTTTACTGCCATAGTCATTGAATTTATTTTCTGTCAGCTGGTCGAAGAGTAACACAAAACATAGCATCAACAGCATAAAACAATAATTTCTGAGAAATTTTTTAAAAATCTAGAATAAAGTATTTGAGAGTATCACATGCTTTTGTTTTTGCTTTGTTTTTTTACCTAATGACTAGTGGGAATGGGAGAGAGATTCCATTATATGAGAATATTTATTTATTTATTGCAGGTTTGGATAACCAAACTGCCACTCCAGTGGTGGCTTTCTTTTGTTTTCTGTTGCTCGATGTACACCTCAAGAGATACAAACAATCGCCTCCACATATACTCCTAAGAATATATACAAAAAATACAAACTACTGCCAATGGAAGATACTGAAAGTTAGGAGCAATATTTCCAGTGAGGATTGACTGGACTTCACTTCCTGTGGGAGCACAGAGAAGGAAATGACTGCTTGGCAATGTGCTTTCAAGCAGGAAAACGTGAAAACAGGTGAGAGGGGATGAGGTGCCTGTTCGGTATCTGATACGGAGTTTGTGAAGGAAAAGGAAATGTTTCCCAATGCTTCTCTTGGTGGACGGCATCATTCATGAGCAGAAGCATTTGTGAACTGAAGAGTTGCTGTATGTTTTGCTAACTGAAATAAGCCAGTCAGCGAAGAGTATTTGTATGGGGCTCAACATTCTAAGATAGTAAGAACTCACATGGCAAAAGAGAACATATTTCTGGTTACAAGGGCCAACAGTCTAGTTTCAGTTACTCATGATGTGTAAGTTCCGGATAGGTTTTGTACACATCGTTTCTATACAATGATGTGCGCTTAAAATTTTGTTGACTATAAATCTAATGCTAATCATTCATGCCACAATAATATTTTAAAAAGAATCAGAAGTAGGTTTGAAAGTTAGCTCACCCCTTAATAGACATATGTCCTGAATAAGTTGCTTATTTTTCTGAAGATGAATTGCTTTGTCTCCAGGGCAGGGTAGCATCTAAAGGATACCGACAATCCCGTGTGCATGCTGAACACATCTGTGGGATAGAAGGGACTTTCTCTGCTAAGGATAAGGTCAGGAGAGAGTTGGGAAGGATTTACAGGAAGCAACAGCTTTTGTAAATCTGCCCAATACCAAGCACCGCAGAAGTTTTTTGATGTGTTCTGGTGACACAAAAAACAAAAAACAAAAAACAATAATGAACCAGAAAACTGAAATTTCTGCTTTTTGACCTTTTCCTGAGGGCTCTAGGGAGCAGGCCACAAAGACCTACCTGGTTTTGAATTTTTAAATCCCATGACATTGTCTGCCAGGCACAGGTAGGAACCTATGAGGCTGTGTAAGAGAAATGCGTGCATACGCACACACATAAGCATGCCCTGACCTAGAACTCGATGGTTCTGTGCTCCTACAATTAAGCGCAGGGCGATTAAGAAACATGGCCCTAATGTAGCTGAGCTGATCCTGGTAAAAATTACGATAAACAGACTGACATCTGGAGTGTTTCAAAACTTTACTTCCCTGAAATAAACAAAAGAGAAGCTTGATAAACAAATAATACGTGAATCTACACAGCATAAAACCCAGTCTCCTCCTGCCCCCCACCGAGATCACACCTACAACGCAACCGAGTCTGCCACCTTGAATGGAAAATTTCAGTCCCCAAAAGTTGAAAGTCAAGACATTCAGGGCTGCTTAATCTTGGTTTAGAATAGAAAGTCTGACAGGATCTTAATTATGGTGTGACAGAGGCAGCAGTAATATAACACCATAAAGCAGCCAGGAAAAGCGCTCAGTAGTGCCTTTGAAAACATTTCTTGTACTAAAGGTTAAAGAGTGCTTATTTCAAACAAAAGGAGCCTAGTGGGTGCATAAATCCATAGGAACAGCCCGTCCACTACCTTTTGTTCATTTACAGATTTGCAGGGGCGGAGGGAGGAGGGCACATCTCATGCTAAAACTCTGCTCCTTTGTTCTCCATGGAACCAACTTGAACTGCGGCTCACGGAGAGTCGTTTTCCACTTTTGTTCGTCCACTGTCAAAGAGAGTTTCTCTTGTCAGGACCCCTTAGCTGAATCCTGACCTGAGACCGGGAGGTTTCTGACTGAGCGGCGCACGGGAGAGAAGTTTGAAGAGGAACGGAAGAGGGCGCTGTGCGGGCAGTGGCTGACGTCCTGGCAAGAGGCTGCCTACCAGAGAGCTGAGCTTGCAGAACTCAGAAACCAACCAAATGTGCGACTGATGAAATGCTTTCGAGCAGCGTTCTTCTTCTTCTTCTTTTTTTCTTGGGGTGGGGGGGGTTCATGCAAGTTACTACTGTGCCTCATGAAGAGCAAGAGATCGTAAGTCGAGAAATCGGGAGAACAAACCAAGATAACAAATTAAGGGACTTGGATGTTGAACGGGATTGGACTCGGGGACAGTAAAGATATCTTGTGTTGCGTCAGTGTTGCTGTACCTTTACAAACATCAGCCTGTGCATATTATAGTTTCCAAGGAAATGGATTCTTAGCATCCCCGGAGGACCCTTAAGAATAGCACTGGCTGCTGTTGCTAGAGCCCAGCAGCAAGGCCCTGGTTATAGATGCACCAAAAGAGCAGGGCATGCTGAACACTGAAACAGAGAGGAAGGAAGTGTCTTCAGACGCGAATCTGGTCACAAAAGTTGAACTGTTGACATCTTCTTGATCTGTATGTAAACAGCATGTGATGCTGAAAGGAGTCTTTAATCCTAGGAGACTCCCGTCTCTACTGCACAGTCATGTGCTATTTCTAGGAATAAAGTGTTCCTATTTCTAAATCATTAACCATTTCACTTTAACCAAAGAAGGACTATTCTGATATGTGTTTACTATTTCACTATGATTTATAATCATTATGTGGAACCAACTGGAAAGAAATCTGGCACAAGGATAAGCAAATTTGGAATTTACCTTTGAGAATTTGTATATGGAAGTACAAAAATGTCCTTTTTATAGCCTTTTGTACTAGAGAAAACAGCAAATAATTATACTTCTATTGTTTTTACAATCAGCATTATCTGTAAGCTTTTGCACACTCAAAAGATAGGCCGAGCAGTTTTGTTTTTGTTTTTTTCAGTACCAGAGATTAATCTGAGAACCTCACGCTTGTGAGGCAGGCATGACGCCACTGAGCTACCAGCCCAAGCCAAGCAGTTTTTGTCCCGTGTCCCAACAGCTTACCTCACTTGGCTTTCATTCATGGTTACCAGTCCGTAGAAGAACACGCACAGGCCAACAACTGCCGCGGGAATCAGCATTCCAGTGTACCAGCCCAGCCATGCAAAGTACAGCCCGATCTTCTCACCAAAGTACAGCCTGCAGGAGAAAGGACATCGTCAGCACAGGGCCACGTTCCTGACCTTACAGTCACTGGCACCGCAGCCAGTGGGCACGACAGATGGAATTGAGGTGGCCAGCTCGCTCCCTCTGCAGTTCCACGCGGAGTATACAACATCTCTGCTGATGTCCTTGGCTTTGCAGATTGTCATAGTAGGGACAATTTGCAAAGGATATTTCTTTCAGTGCCAAGTGTCTTAATATAGTTCATGAGGCTTTTATACCCCAATGCTTGCCTTTCTCCGTCTTCCTGGTACCATCTCTTTGTGGCCTCCAAGCCGAAGCTGTGCTAATGCATTCTGCTCCTGTGAAAGCTGGAGACAGATTTCCCCTCTGCCAGAGGAGCTGACAGCAGGCATTTCAGCCTGTTTGCTTCCTGGCCAGACCCTTACAGGCCATCACATCTCATCTTTCTCCACAAAGCTCACCTCTGTGACTTTCTGGCCACCCTGTAATTTCCCTGGTTAAGAGGTGCCTTAAAATTGAAATGCTTAACATTTTTTTCACCCTGTTTTCGGTCTGATTTGAGGGCCATTTCTTCAGGTGTCCCCCTGACACCCTCTCCAACCCTGATCAGATGTCCCTGCTGTCAGTCCCACACAGCCTCACCTATGCCTCATTACCCTAAACTTGTAATACAGTGGACCCTCGAGTTATGACCAGCCTGACATATTAACAACTTGGGTTATGACCAGAATTTTAGTGTTTTGTTTTTTTTGGTACTGGGAATCGAACTCAGGTCCTTGTGCTTGTGAGGGAGGAGGCAGCACCATTGAGCTACATCCCTGGCACCAGAATTTTAGTTTTGACTTATGAACAAAGCTTTGAATGGCGACCCAAACATTGGCAGCCACTCGTGCTTCCAGATGGTCTCACAGATTTAACCCTTGAAGAGTTCTGGAAGGAGCAGGACAGCATCCTGTCCTGCGTGGGGCTCACTGAGAAATTCTGAGCCGGTGTCTCTCTAAGGACCCTGAGATCCGCCTGTGTGCAGGAGAGAGACGTTGAAGGCTGTGTGGAGGAGCCTGAGCCTTCACTGACCAGAGTTACAGCCAGCCCCAGAGAACAAATTGAGTTCGTAATTCAAGGGTGCGCTGTACTTCATGGTGACTGCTCTTCACTCCTCAGTGCTGAAGGAGAGAAGACTACAGCTTGGCCATGGACATCACCCTGAGCCGCACTGAGGGAACGAGGCCTTCCTCGCCCCGGCTGACAGCACAGCTGTGTGGAAAGGGTGATGGCCAAAGTGGTTGCGATATCTACTCCAAGGGGGTTTCCTCTCCCAGCCTCCCGCCAGTTCTGTCTGCCGCATGCTGTACAACTTGTTTCAACTTTCATGCTCTGTGTTGTGCCAGTTAAATTTTGTGTAAATCTCATCAGGTATGGGCTTGGAGTCAACCTCCTTTAAGCATCATTTATCTACTTTTTTCTTTTATTTATTTCTCCATTGAAAGCCCATTTAGTTTATCATGCAGCCATAGTGTGCCGCTTGGAAACTGTAAGTTATCCTATAAATCGTTAAAATATAAGCTTATAACCCTAATTAAAGCCACTTTTTTTTTCTTTCAACAAGTGCTGCAGGTGGTGTGTAGAGGGGTTTTATTTATTAATTATTTAATTTATTTGGTACCTGCGACCAGACTTGGGACCTTGGACTTGCGAGGCAGGAGGCAGAACCACTCAGCTACATCCCTGGCCCTGGAGAGGGATTTTAGAGCCCGTTGTGACCACAACAGAATCTCCTTACAGCGATGATGACAGAGGGCCAGAGAGAGAGGACTGTAACAAACTGAAATGCTGCCCTGTTGAAGGTTGAGAGGAGCCACAGTAACATTAATGTGAAGTGTGATCACGTCAGTTAAGGCAGATTTCAGATCTGGATCGGGATGGGCAGAGACCAGTCCCGGGCAGAGAGCGACGGATGTAAATGACCCCAGCCAGAGTGCTAGGATGCACAGTCTTCTAGAGTCTGCAAGCTCTACTTGGAGCACTTCAAAACCACAACAGAGCGAGGGGGTCAGAGGGTTACCACGCCACAATTCCCCTACACCTCCACCCCTGCTGCCCTCTTTACACCCCGTGTCACCTCGGCTCCCAAATGCAATGCACCCCGTGATTCTGGGGAAAACGACCAGGGATGTGTTCGCCACCCAATGTGGAGATCTCAAACAGAAGTGAAGCTTTGCAAAATGCTTCTGGTTGTGAACCAAACTGTTCAGAAACAAAAGCGTTGATGAACCTATGAACCAAGGTACGGCTGTATTTTCATGCTGGTCCCCTGTTCGGCTGGTCATGTCTATCATAAAATAAAACTAAAAAATTGAAATCTGCTGTTGTAGAGACAGTTATTTCATTCAGCAATTCTGTTTGAAACTTTAAATTCTCCTGAAACCTACTATGAAATACTTTAAGTGTCACACAACTATTTTGGGAAGAGGGTTCTGTAGCTAATGATTATAAAATGCACTTTCTAGTTTCCATCTTTCACTGTTACCAGGGGAAACCAGATTGAAACTCAAAAAGCTTTGGCTAGTAACTGTTTGAATTCAGCTTTTAAAATGAGAAAACAACACAAACACATGTCCAGAAATGACTGTTTACAAAGAGGGAAAAGACCACTCGTTTTCCTTCCATGACTGCACAACTGCCTCCCTGAGCAGCCAGAAGGGCTTTTCCTGCGGTTCTCTGTCACCCAGGAGCAAAGCATGTGAAATGCCCAAGTCCTGAACACCCTGCCGCTCCTGACGGAGAGGAGGCAACATAGAGACCCACATCCTCAAAACTGTGCCCTTAAGAACAGCTTAATTTTCAATTATTACAAAGTTAAAGTTCTAAGGCCATCTGCCCGTTAGTAAATAAAAATCTGGCCCTTGTACAAAACTCAACAGCCGAGACTGTGTACTTCGCGTGTCTTCTTCCTCACCACCTCAGTTCTGGTAACAAGGAAGCTCGCAGAGGGAAATGATGCGTGGAGGTGCCATCTGTACTGCCTCGTGCCCTCCTTCTCGCCTGGGACCTTTGGATTTGTACGAAGTAGCAGATCACCCAGGTTCCCCGGGAAACCGCTCATGGTGGTGTTGGACCAGGGATGCTGGCAGACTTAAGGAGAGGGAAGGAATAACTCAGGCTCCTTTCCTCGTCTTGGAAGCTCCCGGGGCTGTATCTCGGAGTCAAGGCTCTGGCCCTGGGCCCTAGCGAGATGCACTGTCCTGTCTGTCTCCCTTTCACCTTGGGGCATAGCACTTTTCTGCTGCTGCTGAGCCCTGCTCGATTTAAAGAGCTATGTTTGGCTTCTCAGCTCTCCCGTTCCCCACGTAACAAACTCCCCGTGTCAGCTTTCTCTAGTGGAAAAATCCCTGGAGCTTCCTCCTCTCCCTGTCACCGCTCCCTGGTCCAAGGCGGGAGGCGCGTGACATTAGGAAGTCTGAGGCCGCGGCCACAGCGCGGCACAGGTGCTCCCCACTCAGCGCGTGCGCACAACCTGATCAAGTCCAGCGGCTGATGCTTGTACCACATGCCCCAGCGCGCCCAGCGCTCGTACAGCAGGTGCCGGTTGTTCTGGGGGCCGTGAGTTTTGATGGGCAGGCTGCTCTTGTAGGCGCCCTGGAACAGACAAGACGACAGGAATCGCTGTGCGTTCTCTTCTCCTCATGAGACCCACACTAAACCAGAACAATTCGCTTCTCGGAGAACAACTCAGCAACTCATGCAAAACTCCAGAGGTCATAAATGGGAGCCCGATGCTTCAGTGAGGTGGCAGGTGCCTAGCTTGCTGGAAATATTCTGAAAATCCCTTCAATACCATTTATTTTATTTTTTAATTTTCGCTTTTACTGCATTAGTGCGTGTTCGCATGAAGTCTACGCTTGTCTTGGGGATGCGTACACGGACATAACAAAGCTCATTTCCTTTTTAATCCCCTTCCCCTTCCTGCTCACTTCTCTCCTTTTGTGTCTACATCTCTTCCCCCATTTTCAATCTTGCAATTATTGTTCTTAGCCCATGTCGACGATGCAATGTTCGCTCTCATCTTGAGCACTGGGCACTTGCTCGTGACGAAGCTAAAATCTCCTCGCTCCCCTACTCCGCCTCAGTCTCCTGGACACTCTCCGTTTGTTCGACTTCTATCTCCCCCGGCCCCGTGTCCTTCTCACCATGTTTTATTTGGCTCTGTGTTTGGATTTTGCCTTCATCAAATGACAGTCACCACACAGTACTTAGCCATTGCGTCTGATTTGTTTCAGTCAACATTCTATTTCCCAGCTGCTTCCACTTACAGTCATTTTTGTCAGCAACTGGGTTCTCTTTTGCTTGAAGCAAACCAGACTACAAGTTTCACTGTTTGGAATCTGTGGGCTGTTAATAAACACGCTATCTTCACCACTGAACAGAGAAATGGCTGCCATCTTCAGTTCAGAACTTCAGAGTCTTGGTGTGCTGTGAAGTGTGATGAGAACTTTTTATTTCATTTACAGTAGCTAAGAAAGAGAGGAAGCGTTTATCTGAAGAGGATGGGCTTCCGCCCCCTGGGTTGATGGTGTCTTACACCCCAAGAGATCTGAAATTCTACTTCAGATGAGAAATTCCAGATTTGAAGCATTTAAAAGTTACATCTTCTCCCCCAAATCTGTCAGAGGGAGTTTATAGGGCTGACTGTTTCCAGACAACACGGCTGTGAGTTCCTCCAGAGAGAGAACTCACTTCAGATGGTGGCTTGCAAGGCCCTGGAGGGTGTGTGCAGAGGCATGCAAATGAATTCGGGAGGGGTAGAAGCACAACCCACCCATAGTCGCAGAGTGTGTGTCCCTAAGGCAGTCAGGGGTCTGAATCCTGAAGATCAGACCCCCAAGGGGATGGAGGCAGACAGCCAGCTTCTGAGCATGGGGACCCCACTGGAGAAAGGTTTGTTTGTGAAAATCGGCTGAACTGTTAGACAGGCTGTCCTGAGATTTGCTAAGTAAAAGAGAGTGAAACAAAATCTCAGCTTTCTTTCCATTACTGCTGGTAATTCTTCAGATGTGCATAACTCTCCTTTCTGGCTGCTGTGGTAAATGCACAGGGCAGCAGTCCTGTACTGAGGGCCTGGAGAAGCATGTGGGTCCCGGAACACCGGCCTGACTGCTGGACTGGACCAACCGGCCGGTGAGTTTAGGGCTCCCCGGGCTGTCGGAGGTGGGCAGAGTAGAAGGAGGTAAGTCTCCAGGGTCTGCAGTGTGGCTCTCTCTGCCCTCTCTGCTTTGCCCCACCATGTCCTTCTGCCCTACTGTTTCCACCTGGGAGGTGGTCAGCCATGAATACAACCCCTGAAACTGTGAGCTAAAATAAAGCCTTTCTCCATTAAGTTGTGTAAGTCAGGTATTCTGTCCCAGTGATAGGATCCTGACCAGTGCAACAACCTTCGTGCTCACAGGATAGCCGTTTTCTCGGGTTTGATATTAAGCTGCAGCATACTTTATACATCACTGTACTAACTCTGCTGCTGAGCTTCAGTTAAACCCACTGCTCTGACTTCCCAGTCACACCTGGTACGCTGAGGAGGGGACTGAGGTAATCACTCTCGAATGCCCCGATCTCTGTCCTTCCTATGGCTTGCGCACATTCAGTGAGCACCAGGATCCCCGAGGGGCCCTCTCCTCCAGCACACACTCTTTGCCCCATTTCCGCACTGAGAATTATGTGGTCTATTGAATCCCACCAAATGGCTTCTTCCTCCCTCTAGCTGGGCATTATCCTTAATCTCAACTGGTGATAAAAATATGAGATGGGCACTCCTCACCCGCTTCAGTGATGAAGAAAGTCATGAATGGTAAAGTGGTGGTAACCGGGCCAGAGCCATGAGGTGGACTTAGTTTTCTTCTTCGTAAGCCTTGCTTTCCTTCCCACAGTGTCACTTAGAGTCATGAGACACACCAGAGTCCATTGTATTCACTTTCTACTGTGTGTACTTTATATTTCAAACATATTGCTTCCTATTCTGTTTGTATTGAGTATATAGCACTGCTATATGTATTCCATATACTAGTATTTCAACTAAACTACTGGCATAAATGGAAAAATGAATGACATTTACAACTCAGTTGTAATAGGTCCCAAGTTTCACACAAAAAGTGTCAAGTGAACTGTCAGGACACAGCCTAATTATGTAGAGAAAATTACTGTATAGAGAAGAAACCAAACTTTCTCTGCTACAAAGGCCCTCGCAGGACTTTAATTTGCTTCTCTGAATATTTTAGCACCAAATTTGGGGTAGGGTATCCGATATCCTATTACTTTTCTCTTGGCTTTATTTAGACCTGAAATTAGAATAACAGCATTTATCCCGCAAGTCTTATAGGCAGAATAATGGAAAAATATGTAGTTGAACCTAGCTTATGAGTCATGAAATTGTCTGTCAATATTATTTCTATTCTTTTGTAAACAGACGTAAAAGAATATAAGCATGGAAAATTGGTAGCTTTGTCGCAGCAGATCCCAGGCCCCGGCAGAGGCGTGTGGTCAGACTGAACTACAAAGAACACAGGATCAAGTGTTGACTTGATGAATTTAAAAAACTAAGAAGAGAAATTGTCTTTCAAAATTACCTCATGTGGGGGAAACGCGGCTATATACGAGCCATTGTTGATAAGTTTCTGGATACCTGGAAAGAGAACAGGAAAATGAAACAAGAGTTAGTTTCGACGAAGAATTTCTTCTGAGCACATATATATCCTTGGGACAAAGATTAATGGAGAATGTGGAATAACTTGTGTGTCCTCCAAAGCAACAGCACCCCAAAGTACAGCACAGCTGTGGAGGGAGCTGGTGCATCTTCCTGTGCCCACAGCACCGGCCAGTGGAGGTGAACCAGAGGACGCTGGCCTGGCTTCCCCCAGCCACGATATGACTCAGGGGACATTTTACCCCCTACTTGGGTTCATGTGAGCCAGGAACAGAAACGTGTTTTCTTCTTCAAAACAGTACAGCTTGTTCAAAAGGGAGAGAAGGAATTCTGCACTCTCCCCCAAATATTTAAAGTTGTCACTGTACTGAGGTATCTTTATTTGTTTATACCAAGACATAAGAGCACAAATAACAACTTGAGAAATCAACATCTCCTGCGCCTCTGCTAGGGCTCAGCTCAGTGGACACTGCCCAGGGAGTGGGCAGGAAAGCCTTTCCAGACATCAATTTCCATAGCTATATTACAGCAGTAGCCATATTAATAAAGAACTAGAAACAGTTGGACATCCACCACTGAGGAGTCCTTTAATTATTATGGTACAAACATTTAGTTTAGGTGTTTAAATAATTGTGATTTAGCCAATGTTTATTGTTGAATACTGTACACCTATTTATAGCAATGTTGCCAAACAGTACTTAAAGTTTGAGAAAATATTCATAAAGGCAAACTTTAAAAGACAGAACAATGTAAATAATGCATGTTTGTGTTTTGCTAGACACATGTATATTTTTATATATTTAGTAGCAATACCTATATTTCATACAAATTTGTAACAGTGAAAATTGCACTTAGAATAATTTTTATTTTATTTTTTAACCCTTCCGTGTTCATACTACTAAGGAATCATTTATCTGTTTATTTGAAAAGCTGCAAAATAGGAAGTTTATATGATTGGTATTCTGCGTGTTATATCCTCGTAATTAACGCAGGTGGAGCTTCAGCTGTTCAAACCTCAGGTGGCGATTTGTGGTATAATGCATACCACACCCCATCCGATTAAGGTCCCGTTCTTACCCACTTTGGATATCCCATTTTCGTACTTGGTGCGCTCCAGCATGTGGTAGACTATCCTGCTCCGGGTGGCATTGCTGAAGAAGGTGTCCTTATTGTTTATTATGAAGCTGTGAAGATAAAAGGGGTCCCTTTTACCATTCTGAGCAGAGCACAGAGACCAGCCACAGTCCCAAGTCCCTGGGAAACCATCCATCTCTTTTCTCCATGAAAGCTAACGCCTGTAAAATATAGTGATTCTGAAGAGAAATCCTTCTCTTAAAAAACCGATTGACACAGAGTAAAAAGACTTCATAGAAAATGCAAGGCATTATGGAATATTCATGTTGCTATCTTCTTTGAGTTTATCGGGAAGTTTAAGTGTTCTCATTTTTTTTTTTAATTTAGCATGGAACAAGGGGAGAACAGATTGCTCACTAGTTCACATGAATTTTGCATTACCTAAAGCGATGCAGTTCCAAGTAGAATGAGGTAAAAGCTGATACTGTCCCTCCATGCCACAGTCTGCAGCCCAGCTCATCTGGTTCTTAGGGTTTAGCAATGAGCAGGAGCTCGCCATTCGCCTCCGTGTCCTCCATGGTTCCCATGTGTGAAGATGACCGGAGGGAACATGAGAGGATCAAGGATACAAAGAGCAAAGGAGTGAAGGGACGGCCTTAGCATTTATTTTATGGTGTGCTGCAGCCTCAAGCAGGGAGGAAGGGATAGAGGGACGGAGGGAGGGAGGGAGGAGGGGGAAAAAAGAGCGTACTAGGTCTCCGCTCAGATCTGAGCCTTCCTGTTTCCGGCGATTTATCTGAGCCCTCGATACAGCACCACGGGTCTCGTGTCAGGCTCCAAGTCCCCGAGTGTCAGGTCTTCGCCGCCCTTTGCCTCCTCTTCACTCTCTGTATTCAGGGTCCAGGAGACACTTACGGGACTGTCCGGCCCCCCTGTCCTGCCGTGGCCTCCTGCGTAGTCCCTACCTCACCAGTTAACCCCTGGCTTCTGAAGCGCTGCTCTGAGCCTCACAGTCCTGCTCTGTTTGAGCACTTCCGTTGCTCTCCATTGTGAGCACAGTTACATTTCTCATTTTCTCCAAAGTCTCTCCATACGCGGATGGAATCAAGCCTTTAATCCTTTCCTGCAGCTTTGGCTTCTGGTATCTGATCATCCATCAAGTTGTGTGATTTTCCATCACATTAAAAAACACTGGTTTACGGCAGCAGATTTTGCTCTCTTTAGTATTTGCTCCTCCTCCTCTCCCTACTTTCCTGCCTACTCCTTTCATGCTGTAAAGGGGCTCTCTCCCTGAGCCTCTACCCCAAATGTGGCCCGCCTTTGTTTTTTGTTTTGCAAAACCTGGACCTTGTTTGTGTCTTTCATAGCACATTGGTCTTACTCAGCCTTGTTGCATCTGATCTGCTCAGCTGTGTGCTATCACGGCACCTGAGCCCCTCAGGACTCTGACGTCTGTTGCTTCATCTCTGCCCTTCCCTCGGCAGAGTCAGGGGCCCCTTGTGGCAGGTGGCAGAAGAATTCCCAGCACTCTGATGTTCCCTTCGCCCTCGGGCAGACTGGCACTTCCGAACAAAGGTTTCATGAGCGGAGAACTTGATATTTTCATGGAGTTCAGTGTGCAGGCAAGATGACACAAGCGAGGAGAAAGTCAAATTCAAGATAACGGCCGTGAAGTAAACTGAAATAGCACAGAAGCCTAGAAAATGACTGGGACAGGGGATGATGGTGCAGCGTAGAGAGAAAGCCCCTCTGAAGCGGAGATGTTGGAGCGGGAGCGGATGGAAAAGCTGTCTCTAGATCCACTGCCAAAGCTGGCAATGGAGTAAAGAAAATACTCAGGAAGGAAGGCTTTCCGTGATCGCTGGCTGCATCACAGGTTTGGCAGTGGAACTGTTTCATCCCTCAACTTCCAAACTGCCAAATACAGGCTAATCGGGCTGGTATGAGCACTGCACTACATTGTACAAGTACCACAAAAGCAGAAACTGTGACACCATCCCCTTTAAACCCTCAAGTGTCCCACGGAGGATTCAACAAAAATTATTTGACTAAATACTTGAATAAATAATGTACACATAAATACATAAATACATATTTAAGCAGAGTCTTGCAATATTCCCTAAGGAGATTCTCACCTTTATTTAATAAGCTCAAAGCAAAACGGATGGTTTAGTTAATGAGCATATTAGTTGACTTCAATTATTGTGTTTAATAATTTACTAATGAGAGCGATCTATCATTTACAGAAAGTCTGTCATTATTACCATTATTGTTATTTTAACTGAGCAACCTATTGACATTCAATAATTTTGAGAACTAAGAGCAAGACTAGCAGCTGTGGATTTATAATTAAGTATTTGCTCCTGGAATGTCTCTACATTTATAAAATTAATAGAGAATAATGGTTGTTTATTGTTCATAAGTTTGGGGTGCATTGCAATACAATGATGTGCCCTGTGACCTTCGAGCTGAAAAATCACATTGGCCCCAGGTGTTGTTATTCTATATACAAAGCCCAAGTGATGAGAGGCACACAGACAGCTGGGAGAACAAGGTGGAACTCACTGGTGAATCCGGGCTCGGCTGAAAGGCCCAGTATAACAATCAGACTCCTCCAACTCTGGGAACGCTGACTTGTCGAGAACCATCGGGTTTTGGGACATCCACTTTTTGATTCTTTTAAAATAATTCTGTACCCTGGAACAAAGACACACATTCAAATTAGATTAGGCTGTAGTGTTCCATGAAGGTTCCCTCAACTATCAAAGAAAGAATTCCAGAAAGACAGAGAGCACTCTCCACAAACTACTCACTAAATGGGCATTGCTTCTGTTCCCTCACCGAACACATAATTAGCAAAAGAAAACAAACACTGCAACGATTTAAACTCTCGGAAAGACTATGTATCCACTTGAATAAAGTGGATGAAAACATCCAAGAGTCCCCACACATAAAGATGGCGGTAGGACAGAGCACGGAAAGAGCAGTGTGATATAAGGCTGTGTATCTGTGTGCACATGTCCCGCTCTCTGTGTAGAGAGGGATTACTCTCTTATTCTTTTAAAAAGAAACCAGCCATGTGCCGCCACCACACAATAGGAGACTGAAAAGACAGAAAAGCTCACACTCATAAGTTGTTGCATCCAGGTCCCCCTACAACCAAAGAAGAGGCACAGTGCCTCGAGGGCCTATTTGGATCTTGGAGACAACACATTCTTCCCTGAGGTGTCTTACTCTGGCCCATTTATTAAGTGACGTGGAAAGATACTGGTTTTGAGTGGGGCCCAGAACAGGAAAAGGCTCTGCAGCAGGTCCAGGAGGCTGTGTGGGCTGCTGGCCTGCGTATGACCCGGGAGATCCAATGGTACCTGAAGGTCACTGTCAGGTAGAGATGCTGTTGGGAGCCTCTGGCAGCCCCCATGGGTGAGTCACAGCGGAAGTCTTTGGGACTTTGAGAGAGGCTCTGCCCTCATCTGTAGACAACTACCCTCCCTTTGAGAAACAGCTGTTGATCTGCTACAGGGCCCTAGTGGAAACTGAACGCTTGACCGTGGGACACCAGGTCAGCACACAACCTGCATTGCTCATCATGAGCTGGGTATCATCTGATGCACTGAGTTCTAAGGTTGGAGGTGCACAGCAACAGTCCAACATTCAGCGGAAATGGTATTTATGTGATCAAACCAGAGCAGGTCCAGAGGGTACAAGAAAATTATACGAGGAGGATGCCCAGATACGTATGGCTCCTATGCCTGCTCTATTGCTCTATTCTGCTTCCCAGCATGCACCTGTGGCCTCATGGGGTGTACCGCATGATTAGCTGTCAGAGGAAGAGAAGCTAGGCCCTGGTCTATGGATGGCTCTGCACCTTGTGCAGGCACCACCTGCAAGTGGACAGCTGCAGCATTACAGCACCTTTCCAGGACATCCCTGAAGGACAGAGATGAAGGGAAATCATCGCAGAGGGCAGAACTTTGGGCAGTGCACTGTAGTACATTTTGCCTAGAAGGAGAAATGGCCAGATGTGCAACTTTTTGATTCATGGGCTGTAGCAATGGTCCAGCCAGATGGTCAGGAACTTGGAAGAAACATGACTGGAAAAAAATGGTGACAAAGATATTCATGGGGGAAGAGGTATGTGGATAGGCCTCTCCATGTGGGCCAGGGATGTGAAAATATTTATTTCCCATGTGAATGCTCACCAAAAGGTTACCCCAGCATAACAGTCAAGTGGATAAGCTGACTCATTCTGTGGGTAATGGACAACCTCCTTCTCCAGCCACCACTGTCACTGCCCAGAGGGCCCATGAGCAGAGTGGCCATGGCGGCAGGGATGGAGGTTATGCATGGGCTCAGCAACACGGACTCCCACTCAGCAAGGCTGATTTGGTTACAGCCACTGCTGAATGACCAGTGTGCAAGTAACAGAGACGAACACCGAGACCCTGATATGGCCCCATTCCCCAGGGTGATCGACTTGGACCTGGTGGCAGGTGGATTATATTGGACCACCTCCATCATGGAAAGGACTATGCTTTGTCGTCACTGCATAGACACATATTCTGGGTATGGATTTATCCTCCTTACATGTAATGCTTCTGCCAAAACTATCATCTGTGGACTCACAGGAAGCCTTATCCACTGTCATGGAATTCCATATAGCATTGACTTGGACCAAGGAACATATTTTATGATGAAAGAAGTGAGGCAATGGGCTCACTCTCATGGAATTCGCTGGTCTTACCGTGTTCCTCACTATCAGGAAGTGGCTGGATTGATAGAAAGACACAGTTGAAGACACAGTTACAGCACCAGCTTGCAGGGCTGGGGCAGGGTTCTTCAAAGGCTGTGTGTGCTTTGAATCAGCATCCATTATATGGCACCACATCTCTCATAGCCAGGATTCATGGGTCCAGGAATCCAGGGGTGGAAGAGGGAGTGGTACCACACACCATTACCCCCAGTGATTCACTAGCAACATTTTTGCTTCCTGTTCCCAAAACCTTATGTTCGGCTGTCTTAGAAGTCTTAGTTCCAGAGGGTGAAAGACTTGTACCAGGAAGCACAACGATATCACTGAACTGGAAGCTAAGACTTCTCCCTGGTCATTTTGATCTCCTTATACCTCTGAGGAAACAAGCTAAAAATGAAGTCACAGTATTGGCAGGAGGATCAACTATCAGGAGAAATTGGACCATTACTCCACAATAGAGGAAAGGAAGAATATACCTGGAGCACTGGAGATCCTTTGGGCTACCTCCTAGTATTACCACACCGTTATTAAAGTTAATGAGAAACTACAACAACCCAACCCAGGCTGGATGATAAATGGTCCAGACCCTTCAGGACTGAAGGTGTGGTGACCCCACCAGGGAAAAAAACAAGACTTGTTGAGGTGCTTTGCTGAAGGCCAAGGGAACACAGAAAGGGGGTAGAAGCAGGTAGTTCTAAACACCAGCTGTGACCCTGTGATCAGCTACAGGAACCAGGACTGTAATTCTACTATCTCTCTCCTAATATGGTTCTCATGCAATACAATGTTTATAGACCTAATACTGGTTCTTAAGGGGAGTTAAACTGATATTGCAATGTTCAAGTTATGAAGAGTTAAGAGTAAGCATCACCCGAAAAAAACTTGCTTTCTATTCTGGGGAAGGAAGTAGTGAATTTCCATTTGTCCACAGGATAGTTATAATAAGTTAGGTGTAATTATGAGCTCATCTTTGTATCCGGAGAGTCATTTAAAGAAATGTCTGGTTGCCAACTTGACAAGGGCTAGACTGTGATGGCGGATTGAGTGTGTCAACTCTAGAAGTGAAGTCAGTTCAGAGAAGCTTAGCTAAATCAGCTCAGCAGTTCCATGCCCTAGAGTGTGGAGGACCTGCCCTAAGGTGAGTTATCACCTGCATGCTATGAAGGGGCAATGGGGAAGGATGGATCTGCCTCTGTTCCCTTGGAGAAGCCCCCATCTTCTCCTTCACCTTGGTTGTCATCTCCTGGCTTCCAGGGCAGACTCTTGGGCTTCTAGTGCAGACCCATCACCCTCCTGATTTGCACTCACATGGGACTGCAGTGAGCTCCTAACCTTTGACTAAATCGTTCAGTCTCCAGCCTGCAGATGGACCCTCCACTCTCTTCCTCATCTGACTCTGTGGGCGGCCATGGCAAGCCAATCTTGCAAATTCAAATATATTTGTATATCTTCTGTTATATCTGTTCCTCTAGTAAGCATTGACTGACACAGAGTAGGAAGAGGGATTTTGAAATCAAGCAAAACAGGGTTAGAACAGAGCTCTGCATTGTAGTATAGCAGTGAACCTGTACGAGTTACTAAACTGGCTGTTTCCTTAGTGTCTGAGTCAAAAAATAAAAATAATACTGACTTCACTGGAGAGTTGCAAATTGGCCTTTTCCTTTAAAGCTGATCGTTAATAAAAAGGAAACTTGAGACAGAGCTTTGCCATACATCTCAGACTTGCAAAGAGTGAATGGCCGGAACATGTTGCTAAAATGCAGACGCTGACATATCAGGGCCTGGCATGGGGCCTGGGGTCCTGCATTGCCGAGTTGCTCCTAGGGGATGCCTGTGCTGCTGTGAACTGTGTGTGCTGAGAGTGACAAGTTTGCCGCAGACATGGGCAGATCCTACATCGGGGCACTGTTTGGGGAATTGGACATCAGGACATTTTGGGCCAGTATAAATGGAAGTCATAACTATAGGGTGCAAATATCTATGCATCGATTCGAATCACTTTCATCTTCCCGAGAATAAAGAAGTAGATAGGAGAGATAGACCTCAGAAATGGATTCTGAATGTCTGAATTCTAAATTATCATAGTACCTACACACACACACACACACACACACACACACACACACACACACACCACGTGGTGTTTACATGCTCTGAAGTTCTTTGGGCAATTTTTGGCTTCGTCTACAATAGTAATTAGAAATAATACAACAGAATATGTTCCTACACAAATACAACACATCACAGTATTTATTCGGCCAACACTTTGGAGTTCAATAAAAGAAAAACTAGGGCAGTTATGGGCAGGCACCTGACACTGTATCTTAAGAATTATTGCATTTCAAATTTATCATAGGAAAATTATGAGGTGAAATTGCAATAAAATCAAATTGTGATGCAAAGCTTGGGATGTAAAAATTGAGTTCGTTTCATGGCCAGGGAAGACTATCAGTTAGACAGGAAGCCGTTTTGGGATTTGGAGGAACAGCAGCCTGCATTTCATGTCTAAAACAGTAGAAAGGCAGCACCAGAGGTGTTCACTTCGATGCTGCTCATTATAACACCAGCTTCATAATTTGTCAAATATCACTGTTTCCCAGAGGCCAGTGCCCGGGCACAGAGAAAATATATAAACTATGCAGCAATTACTCTAATTTTTAAAATTTAGCATTGCTTTTTTAATATGCAAGATGAGTATCATGCTGCTTAATTTGCAAGTCTTTGAAATTGGACAACACATTTCCAATCTTTGAACTTCAAGTTCCTGAGATCTAAAGAGAGGAAATTATTCCATCTGTTCTATTTCATTAAGTGGCCAGGGAAACCAAATCAAAGCATGTATTCCTCTGTGATCAGAAAATGTCAATGTACTTTAAGACTCAAGAACTTACTATCTTTGACAAAATCACAAATAAGAAACAGAGGTGAGATTTTAAACTTTTAAAAGATATGAAGGAAAGGACTGTCACACTATCACTTACTTTATTGGCCCAAACTACACATATTATCTCTTACTTTTCCCCCTGTGTTTCTCGTGAAGGGGTAAAGTGACATCTGATGGGGAGGTGGGGTCACTCCTGCATCTGACTACTGGGATGATAAGACCCAGTTTATTAATTTCTTTGCACCTCACTTTGCTCATCTTTTAAGTGGAAAGCTACTTTAAGAACTAAATTGATAATGTCTCGCAGTTCCGTGCACAGCACACAGTATGTACTCAAATATTTGAGACAGTAATGAGACAGAGGAGAATCAGAAGTAGTTTTACAATTCTACTGCTAAAGCTATCACCACCTCACCACCAATGTCATCTGATAGACAATCGACACTGCAATAATCATTTATCGTGTTGGGCTTTTTGCAAACTCAACACTGTGGTTTAATGTGAAGGTGAATTCTACAGAGCTTTATAAAATAAACTTTGCCAGGGCCAGGGATTTAGGTCAGTGTGCCAGTGCCTGCCTGGCAAGCACCAGGTCCCAAATTGGATTCCCAGTACTGAAAAATAAAATAAACTTTGCCAAAATGAGGGGAAAGAGAGGTCTGTGGAAATTGAATATAAATCTAGATCAAAGGGCTGGGAGAACTGGATTAGGTCACACACTTGGCCAAGCCAGCTGTGAAAGCTGGGGCAGGAGTGTAGATGTAGTTGCTATAAGGAAATTATTTCTTTCTACCCATGTTCATGGGTAGAAAAATCTGCTTTTCTTTGTTCTGCCTTCCTTGTGGGCTATTTTGAAGATGTTTTAACACTTGAATGTGAAAATGCCTTATAAATAAAAAGTAAATCTCAGCAATACACAAAACTGTGTTTATTTCCTTTCCATCTGCCTGGGGAAATGATGATCTTCAAAAGCCAGGCAGTACCCCGGCCTTGTGTGTACTGGTTACTACTAACCCATGGACAAGACGTCTTTCCTCCTCGGAGAAAGGAAATGCACAGGTTAAGTAGAATGGGAGCATTTGATGTTAACCTTCCACTTTACAAAATATGCTCGGACTATGTTTTACAATTTTATATTCCTAATGGCTTTATACTACACACACACACACACACACACACACACACATACACACACACACCCCTGAATTTTTCTTCTATAAAGATAAAGTTTAGGAAAAAAATACAGTCATTTTCTTAACGGAATATACATATTTAAGTAAATAACAAATTTTTTCACTTGAAAATGCTGTGACATTTTATAAGCTTCTCTATTATTTGTTACCTATATTTATAACACAAAATGTATAGAGATAGCACGTGGTCTTCCTGCTATAGGATTCATTTTTCTAGCTTCCTTGGAAGGTTGAGCAAAATAGGAAAAAACCCACTATTTTTCACACTTTAAAATGTTTCTTTAGGATTTGGTGCAATAGACATATTTATTATGCATTCTTAGTGCAAGTTCACTGTAAAACTAAACTAGGACAGCAAACATAAATAGACTTTTGGTGAGACTTTTTTTTTTTTAGTCTCTACAAGAAAGATGCCTGTTCAATATACAACACGGCCCACTACAGCTACTTACAGTGTCTCATGTTCATGCTAAGGCAAAAACACTAAAGTTACACAACAGATTTATCAGATAACATGGAAGAGGCATACACACACAGCAAAATGAGGAAAACTTGTAGTCATAAGTGTATGTAATAGAATAGTCCAATGACTTCAATTTTATTATATAAAAGTGGCTGAAATTTATTACATAGATCTGGATCAAAAATTCACATAGGAAATGATGAAAATTCATTCTGAGTCAAAGCACTAACTTTGACAGAACTAAATGACTACTAAGAAGCATCATTAAAGTTTTTTAAAAATCATTTTTGTACTAATTTTTGTACTGTTAATTCTAATTTCAAGGATTCTTTCCTCCATGATTTGCTCTTCTTATCATCAAATCCTACCACACATCAATTTCTTGTTTCAAGGAGGTTCACCTTCTCCTATTAAGATTGCTACATTTTAAATTATATCCAGCAATTTCCTTGGAGGAGAAAAAAAACAGTTCCTTGAGTCTGTTCCTAAAATTCAGGCTCTGTAATTTTTCTAGCGTTTGTGTCATTCCGACTCAGAATATCATACACATCCTTCAGTGGAGTGCACTATACCTCATTCCCCCACTTTGTCTTTGTTAACTGATTCTTTTCAATGAGAAAGAAAATAGCCACATATATGAAATATTTTGTTTGAGCATTCACTAAACAGAAGTCCATTTTTTCCAGTTAAACAGCACCACTGTGGTTCAGGGGGAAGAGTTTCTCCTGTGTCCAAGTGAAGGTTTCATTAATTTCTTTTCTACAATGGCTCTTATTCCAATAGGTAAGAGAGGCAGTTTAGACCTGGAGAATAATGCTAGGCCTGAAAGGCGAAAGATATCCCAGGCCCCTGGTAACGCCTGACGACTCTAGCATGCTACTCTTACATTAGAGTTAGGGGTAAATAAGCAAAATGGCTTGACTGGTCTAGATCTTTGTTGGTTTGTGGTTCTACTACTCTAGCCTGCTGTCAGGTACCCAGCGGTCCTGGTTCTGCAGACTTTTTTTTTAAATTAAAATCTCTTAATATGCTAATAGACAATTAAAATCCTCCCTCCATAATACTGTCGCAGGAGGATGCAGGAATAGTGATAATAAACACAGTGGTAGCACAGAGATATCTGATTATAAGCATTATTCCATTTGGTACAGGTCACTGATCAAAATCAGTGGAAATTTCATCCTCGAATTTACAGCTGCTGATATGAGTAATCAAATGTCTTTTTTTCCAAGTCACCAATTAATCATAAAGGAAGTATACATCACCCACCAACCTGCCCATTGATTTGTTCCTTCCATCAGAATAATAGCATTTTTTCCTGAAAAAGAAAAAATAGAAATCAGCTGAAGAAAGTCACAGGAAAGCACAATGAAGTTAGTGACCCACACCATGAAATAATATTGGATATTTCCACAAATCAAGTTCTGTATGCTTAAAAATTTGACTAGATTTGACTTGAAGTAAGCTTTGAATATACAAACAAGTAATATATATCATTTTAATTTCAGAATCTATTACTTATACCAAAACTCTTTAAAATTGACAGGCCCTCTCTGAATATATTATTTTAATTCTCTTTTTAAAGGAGTTATTGTCTGCTAACCAGATAACTTGTTTCCATGTTATATGAAATCTTCTGTCCATCCACCCATCCACCTAAACATATTTTTAAAAAATCCTTCTGACTTTCTAAAAAAACAGAAGGTTATAACCACTAAAAATGTAAAGAAAATGGATAGTCTCTGTCTTCAGGGAGCTTCCTTTGAGGTTGAGATAGCAAGTGATTAGTTACACCAAAGCGTGAAGGTGTGGGAAAAGGTGTTACTGAAATACACAGGAAGGGGACCTCAACTAATTTCTGTGGGTAGAGGAGGAAGGAGATGGCAAGCCACTAGAGGATGTGCTCTCTTGAGTCAGGGCTGGGAGTAAACTTCTAGATAATGTGGTTGTAGCTGGCATTTTAGATATGGTGGTGGAATTTGAGATGGTTAAGGGGGCAAGGGCAACAATTGTATGACTGAAGGAACTGCAAGTAATTAGGTTATAGCTAAAGTATATGTTGCAAGTTGAGGACAGCCAAAAGAGAAGCCCCGAAGATGAACAAAGGACCTACGGTGAAGGGCCCTAGAACCAAGGCTAAGAATTTTGGATGAAAACCAATGGGGAGCTAGTATTTTAAGAGGGGCACAGCAGGCCTGGTTCAGGGGAAAGTAAACATCTGGTGGCAGAGGTTAATTTACCAGCTAGTTGATTTTTTTCTGCATGTTCACATTGGATTAATTCAGAGCTATATTTGTGTCCTTCAACTCCTGGGAGCATTCTGCCCTGAACATTTAGTAAACAATGTTTCCACAACAACAACGTCTATAAATGTAGAAACTGGTTTTAAATAAGTTTTGGCATCAACAAAGAAATGCAGGAACTAGAGTAATGGGAGACAATGTTTACGGTTATGATCACCAGTGGGAAATGTGGTAAGGAGTATTAGGAAGGCATCAGGGGAGGAGGTGGGCTAGCATAGCCCTGCTGCCCCTGTAGACTGCTGCTGTCTGAAATAATTCTCTCAAATATTTTTAGGATTATATGGTTTGGTTTCATACATGCTTTGGGAGAAATAAAAAAAGGACAAAGTCATACAGTATGAATATATGTACTTTTAAAATCAATTGTAAGAGCAAATGACAACTAAAAGTTCAACAAATTCTCCCTCTTAAAAGGAAAGACATCTCTCCTCCCTCCCTCATCTTCTTAGAGTGCTTACTCCTGCAGACCCCGCCTGATAAGCACCTTTTCCTCTCTTTGAAATGTGTACAAATCCTTTAGAAGATCTAATGGGGGCTTTTACCAGCGTTGAGACCCAGGATGTCTGCCTGAGGACCAAGAGCCATCTCTGAGTGCAAAGTTCAGTGGAGAAAGCACCCATCTCCAGTGTGAATGGGAGGGCAGCCTGAATTTGGTGGACGTCTGGCTCCAACTTGTAAAAACTACCTAGAGTACCCCCAACTTACAGATATGAACAGTTTTATTTTTGTTTTGTTTGCAGCCAGCAACACCCAAGTCCCTGATAAGTGGTGTTGTTCAGGCCTCTTACACTAGGGCTCCTTGCTGTGGATCTTGAGAACTCCTGTGCAATGGGCTCTATCTGACTGGTTATATAAAAGATTGAGGTGATTTTCAGCTTTCCAATCCCTTGTGACTTCCTCTGACCGCGTTTAATGTTTGTTTAGTAAGATTGCTCTCTTTCTTTTCCATTTTTGTGGAACAGTTGTCCTGTGTCGAGGGAGGTTTGAATTATATATTCCCACACAATATATGCTCTATTTTCTAACCATCAGCAACCTGCATATATGAACCTCCAGCACCGAATTCTTTAATACTCCACCTGGCAACTGCTCTGTCAACTTCTGTAGCAGCTTTCTGGTTCTTTAGTGCTCTTGTTCCTGAATTGCCCATTATTAAGATTCTGCTGTTTTATACCTTATGCTGGGGCTGCACTCACCTTCCTATGTAACCATGACAACAATTCCCTAAAATTAAAAGTAAATAATTATCTAAATCAGTATTTACTGCCAGTTTCAGGAGGTCAGTGCCTCAGAGGAGATGACTGAGCCATCTGGAGGGAGGACCAAAGACGATTTCCTTTACTTCTGTCCATGACGCAGACCTGTGCCCTGAAGGTTTCGGTTTTATTTTTGAGTGAGGGGTCCTTTGGAAAAGCAAAAATCTAAGCTAAGTCTTATTTGTAGAAGAAGTGTTCTCAGTGTTTTAGATCATCAAGCCCTACTATTATAGTATTTGTGGGGCAACAATAAACTTGAGGAGAAAATGGGAGACTGGTCCCATCGAGAGCCGAGCCTGAGATGTACTGGACAGCAGAAGTATCTTCAAAGGCATTGACTCTTTTCATGTACGAGAGAGCTAAAAATCAAGAGCAGAAGCCCTCGAGTCAAAAGCAAAGTGCTAAAATGGGGTTTGATTTTCCTGGAATGCAGCATCTACAGGCTACTGCCACCAGACGTGACAGAAACAGTGTGAACTACTGCAACCTCCAACACGTTCTGTGGTAATTCTGCAATTTAAAGTTCCATAGAATAGCTTGACTTATTTTGGGAAGGAATATCAGGAAAGAAGAAGTGGCCAGAAAATCGAAGTGCAACATTTTACAGATGTACGCAAGCAGAAATTTAGATAAAATATTGCAGGCTGGAGTCCAAGAAGCAGAAAACGTTTACAGAAAAGATAATACTAATAAGGCTTTCTGAGTAAATGTGCAGGTTTTCTTTGGGGGAACCAATAGATCTCAAAGATAAATAATTGCATATGATGTCCCAGGTAAAGATTTTTATACAAAAAAATTTAAAAGATCTTGTTCTAAAAAGAGACATGGCTTTTCCTATTTAAATTCTTGGCTGCTTTGGAATAATTGCCCCTCCTTTTCCCTGGGAGATTGCTTCCAGGCTCCTTTGCATATAGAAATCTGCAGATGTTCCACTTCTTCATAGTAGAAGATGCAGTATTTGCACCTGTCCTATGGACCTTCACCTGCAAGTGCTAGAACATGTCTAAGTTAGTTATAATAATTAATACAATGACAATGCTATGCAAATAGTCAATGTATTACTGAGGGACTAATAACTGAGAAGTTTGTACATGTTCAATGTAGAGAATTATTTTTAAATATTTTTAATTGGTGGTTGGAATGCATGAGTTAGGGGCAGCAACTGTATCTTAATTTTTAGACATTTCTTGAATGCAATGAGTTGGCATTTGGTGATTAGATTTGCCATCAAAGAAACCTTTTGCTTCAGTCTGTGCTTAAGTAGAATTCTCTTGTTATATGCTGGCCGCAAGCCTATTTATAAATAAATGAGAAGTCAGATACTAAGGAGTTAGTTAGTGCTACATCTATTATTTAAACCCATCTGGAAGATGCTCCCAAACAACCCTATGTTTCACCATTTTTCAAACTCTTTTACCATCGACACTGGCATTGGATGGAAATGAGGGAAAAACTACATTGTATAACTGCCTTTTGAAATTTACAAAACTTGTAAGGAATATTAAAACATTAAAATCTCCAAGACAAAATGTGTCATTGGTATCAGTATCATTTAGGATCCTTGTTAAAAATGCACATACCCAATGCAATACCATCTGAGGTTTTTTTTTTTTTTTTTTTTTTTTTTTTTTTTTTTTTT